GAAGAAGCAAAAGTCAAACAGAAGCGAGCAAACTACCGACGGGGCAAAGAAGAGAACTACGACGACAACGACGAGAAGGAGGAAATACCGCTGCGATGATGCCACGACCACTGACTGCCTACTGCCGAAGTCAGTTTTTTGGGCTGGGCTGCTTCTGCCCTGCCAAAATCTCTTTTCTCTCTCTCTCTCTCTCTCTCTCTCTCTCTCTCTTTCTCTCTCTCTCTCTCTCAAAGTTCGTCTATGCAAACGCTGAAGAAGCTTTGCTGCCTCATTTGGCCCCTCTTCTGCTGCAGCAGCAGCAGCAGTGTTTGCATCAATTGCAAAGAAGGCAGCAGCTTTTGTGCAAGCAAGCAGAAGAAAAGGAGGAGAAAAATTGCTGCTGCTGCTTCTTTTGGTGAGAAGTGGCTGCTGCTGTTGCTGCTGCTGTTGCCACCACTGTTGAATGGGCTGCTGCAAGCTGACTGCTGAATCATCCTGCTGAATGGGGCCCCTGAATGGGCTCAAGAGTAGAAAAGTGGAGACCAAAAGTGGGTGAGAAAAAAAGGTGAATAGGATGGAAAAGTGAAAAAGCTGTGTGGGGAAAGATTGAAAAGGGAAGTGGTAGTAACTGCCAACTGAAAAGTGGAGTGAAGTAGAGCAGCCATTCACTACTGAATGAATTGAAAGTAGAAGTGGAAGGGGAAAAGGGGAAATGAGGGAAATCAGGGATGATGAGAAGAGATTTGAAAACGTTGATGATGAAGTTGATGTTGNCAGGGATGATGAGAAGAGATTTGAAAACGTTGATGATGAAGTTGATGTTGATGAAGATGAAAGCAACACACACGCACACACAAAAAACAACCTCTTTCTTTTGACAGCTCTGTTGTTGTTGTCCCCCTGTCTGTTGTACAACTGTTGAAGAGTCTCAGTGTGGATGAGTGAATCAATGGAATGTTGTTGGCAGTTTTCTGCTGAAGAAAAAATTCCCGAGAACTAAGGGCACTCTGATCTTCTCTTCCGAAGAGTACTTTTGTACCTGAGGAAACAAGAGAAAAAAGTACATACAAAACAACACTTCAAAGTTGCTACTGAGGGCACATTTTTTTTGTTGCTAGTGTTGAGTAGTAAAGCACAAGGCAAAGAACTCCACTTGTAATAGTTTTTGGAGTTAACAATTTTGCGCTCTTAACAGCAACAAAAGAAATCACTACGTCGTTATTGTGTAAAATAATTAAAAGTCAAGAGGTTTGTTTGTCAAAAATGTGCTTATAGAGTGTGTCTCTAGTCGACAAAATAAAGTCGCCTAATTCATTGTTGACTTGCAAATTATAAACACCTGCTAATTTAACCAAAATGCTAAAAAACTTACTATCTTTTTTTGTGAAAGCTTGTCATTTAATAAATGGTCAGACAATGCTGTTTAAAGTTGATGATAAGTAGGTAAATAGATGGGGACGCAATAAAAATTGTGTGTTTGTGTGAGTGTGTGTGTGTGTATTCAAACCAGTTTGCTTGCAAAAGTATAAAACACTCTCTAAAAGCAAAAAACGACACACACTACTACGATGACGAGGCGATCAGACAACTCCAAACAACAACAACAACAACCACTCTTGCGGCTACAAGTTGCAGGCTGCGAAAAAGCGTTGAAACTACTGCAGAAAAATGGTACTCTGTGTTTAGTGTTTTGAGTACTAAATTCATATCCGAAAAAAAGTAAAAATCCAACAACAGCTAATAGTAGTAGAAATAGAAGTAGTAGTCAAACAGCACACGAGATCTAAAAAGTTAGCAGTTGCTATCAAAAAGTAAACTGATTAAAAAGCAGTGTTCAGCAGACTACCTGCTAGACTGAGGTAAAAAAAGGTTTAAAATGTCAAACTGAAGTAAAAAATAAGCGCAAAAATCTTAACACACATTAGCTGGACTATATAATACTCCTAGTTAAGACTAGATAAAAGGCTGGCTAGTTTAGAAGTAACCTGCTGTAAGATAGCATATTCGTTTTGTTTCCACTTACCAACGGGCTGTTGTGGTTGTGGCTGCAATCCAAACTGCTGCTGCTGTGTTGTTTGGTTGCCGTAGAGCAGCAGTTGATTACCCGATGCATCCAGCGATCCTTGTTGCTGAAGAAGTTGCTGCTGCTGCTGGTGCTGTTGAGCGATTGCTGAGCCTTGTGACCCAGGTGGAAGCTGTTGATGCTGTTGTTGTTGGCTGCCCATTGGATATTGCTGCTGCTGCTGCTGCTGCTGCTGTTGGTTGGCCATTGAGGAGGAGCTGTTACTAGCAGCTGCAGAGCTGCTCACCGGCGGCGGAAATGAAAGCGCTGCAAATGGATCAGCCGTACTTTGATCAAGCGAAGGCTGTCGCTGCTGTTGTTGTTGCTGAAGAGCAGAATTCGGACCTTGATTCAGTGCTCCTCCAAAAGTTGGCTGACTTCCACCCATCAAGCCTTCTGATCCGGCATTCGCTGCTCCAGGACCGCCGCCGTACATCGGTCCTTGCTGCTGTCCATGCCCGCTTTGCTGGCCACCGAATTGACTGCCCACCATTTTTGTGGGATCCATTTGATGCTGCTGCTGCTGCTGACCCATCATCAGACCGCTGCTATTGTTAGAGCCGTCAAATGACTGCTGACCGGGCAACGGTTGCTGCTGCTGCCCATCAAGAGACATCTGACCACCTTGAAGCTGCATTTGCTGCTGCTGCTGAAACGTATTTGGCTGCTGAAACGGTTGCTGCTGTTGCTGGTTCAGTTGTTGGTTCAGTGGATCGCCACTATTAAACGGCTGACCATTAAACTGCTGCTGCTGCTGTTCAAAGGGTGCTGAAGCTGAGGCAGAGACGGAAGAATTGATAGAGCTCATCGAGTTGGCTTGGCTGGTAAAGACGCCTGGCGGTTGTTGTTGTTGTTGGTTCAAATAGGAAGAACCGGAAGAGGAGACAGGGACCGCTCCAGTTCCCATTGGCTGAAGTTGAGCTTGCTGTGGCTGTGGCTGTGGTAGTGGTGGAAGACCGAAAGCGGAAACGGAAGTGCCAGTGCTGCCATTGTTCATTCCTGGCTGCTGTCCACCGTACGGCGGTGGTTGCTGCTGCTGCTGCTGCTGCTGTGGCTGTTGGCCGAGCATCTGCTGACCGGAAGTGTTCATTCCTTGCTGCTGCTCCTGCTGTGCTATCTGCTGCTGCTGCCGTCGACTGGCGCACTCAAGGCAATTCCAAAGGGAGCTCTTCAGGAGGGTAGAAAGGTTAAATTGTAGGAAAACATATTAAAAAAGGTTGAATTGCGGCGGCGGCAGTAAAAATCAGTTTAGCCTATTAAACATTTAAACATCTAACAATTCTACAGATTTAACAGTCAACACCTTTTATGAGTGTTAGTGTTAAAAGTAAAATTCCTTTAAAGCTAAAACCTCTTCTCAGCAGGGAAAAGAAGTCTTTATTTTTGGGGTTAAGGTCAGCTAGCTCTGTGCTGCCTTACTTTTCTATGCTTTTTCCTCTTCTCTTCTCTTCTCTACTAAATGGAAAAGACACTTACCAGTCCGTCGGGGGCAGTAGTGCTGGTGGTGGTGCACTGGGAGCAGAAGAGTCGGCCACAGTCGACGCACTTGATGGTTGCCTGGTGGTCAAGTTCTCGCTGGCAGCCACTGCAGGGCGTCGTCGTCGTCGTCTGCATCGTTCCCATCGGTTGATTTGCCGGCAGAAGTTGTTGTTGCTGTTGTTGCTGCTGAAGGTGTTGTTGTTGTTGTTGCTGTTGAGCAGTGTGCAATGGTGGCGCCTGATTGAGGCCGGTCGCCAGGCCGCGCCGCTGCTCCGGATAGCCAATGGTGGGCGCCAAGGGACCACCACCACTTTTGGGAGCCATTGGACTGTTGGTGATTGGGTTTTGATTGAAGTTGAGAAAGGAGTTGGAGTAGGTTAAGGAAAAAGGAAGAAAGGAAGAAAAGGAAAGCAGTGGAAAAGAAGAAGAAGAAGAAAATGTTAGTTGCTGCTGCTGCTGTTGGTGAACACTGAACAAGCTAAACTGAGGGTAATAAAGCGGTCGCTAATAAAGTAGTGTGGTGGCGGCAGCGGCGACTAAAGTTTAAAGTGTGCAAAAGGTGTAAAGTGAGGAAAGAAAAAAGTGCGCAACGGAAACAATCACTGCGCAAAGAAAGAAGATAAAAAACAGGCATTACTTGGCTTTCTATCAAAGAAGTTTCCCCTGTCCATTTTGCTGTTTTTAAGTTTTGTGCTGTTGCTGGTCCAATTGGCCAACAATGTAAAAGTCACCATTTTCACCCAAAAGCCAACTGGTCAAGTTTTAATACCTAAAAACATTTTTTACCTAAAGTTAAAAACAGTTTTTTAAATTAACAAGAAAACTGTGTGGCAAATGAAACATAGTGAACAAACAGAAAAGTTTCGTAAAGCAAAATTTTTGTGTTTGTTTTTTGCTTTTTAAATCGCTTTTTCACGGTAAGTTGGAGAAATGCTGTTTTCTGCATGAAAGTAGTAGTTAAACTCAGTTTTTCACTTATACTAAGTTGTGTAGTTCTTTTTTAATTTTGGCAGGCAGTCATTTCCGCTGTCAGCCACTTCAGTTTAGCAGATGTGAAAAAAATGACAAAAACAAAACTACCAAGATACTATTAGGCAGATTAATTGCATTTGATACTAGGGTGACACTTGAGAAGAAAAAGCAAAAAAGGGAATTGAAAATCTTTTACATGGGAAAAAACTTTGCCGTTTAAAAACTAAAAAAATACTAAAAAAGCAATAATATTTTGATTTAGACGCTACAGTAAAGTTTGGTTATATTTTTTGCAGAAAAAAATAAAAAACAAATTTAATTCTATGATCTTAAATTGCCGTTTGCAAGCAACTTGCAAAAAATTTTTTTTGTTTGTTTTTTACTTTTATTATTTTTTGCCCCTTTCAATTAAAGTCCGCCAATTTTTATCAAAACTGTTCTTGACGACCAGAACGACAAACACACTCGTTTGCCCTTTTAAACTTAAATGCTCACATTATTTTACTTAAGTTAAAGTTAAAAACGGATCAACAATTGCCTTTTTTAAATGAAATTGAAAATAAAACGACAATAAAAAAACTATTTTCTAGGTAGAAAATGCTTTTAACTATCTTTTTTTATATTTGTAAAAAATTAAAAATAAATTATTTTTAATAAAGAAACAATGACTAAATAAAAAAAATTAAATTACATTTATCGAACAATTGCTGAAAAATACGAAATGTTGAACAAAATTACCAGTGCAAAATGCAAACAAAAACAATTGATTTTATTGGTTTTGTTATTTTTATAAAATAAACCTTCAGTAGCTGTAAATTAGTAATAACGCTTGTTTTTGTACATATTGAGAACTCAATGACAAAAAATTGACGGAAATTGTTTGGAAATAAGTAAAAATAAAACAAAACGATTTATTTTTGTTGAAAGGCAGAGAGAGCGCGAGCTGATAGAAAAGGTTTATTCAACTATAAACTAGAGAATAACTAACTCACTACAGTGAGATACGCCACTCTAAATAGAGTGGGAAAACAATACTTGCAAGTTCTAAAATCATAGAGGTTCTAAAACCTAACAATTTTTAATTTCTTTGTCATTGTGTGAATTAAAAACAATATTTAACACATTTGGTAAAAAATTTGCATGTTTTTGGTATAAACATTGTAACCAATTTTTATCATTTTGTTTTAAAATATTTCATTTTGTGCTTTAAAAAACTAACTTTCAATTGTTTTAAATTAAACCTATATTTTTGCCATTCTACTTTGTTTTTATCACCAACAGTCATCATCATCATCATCATCATCATCATCATCATCATCATCCATCATCAGCATTATCATTGTTAGGAGACATCCTAAAAAAGAGAAAGAATGCACTCAGTCACTTTTTATTAAATAAAAACTGCACGGCTGTATTGCTCACTAACAAGACGGAAATAAAAACAGACTAAACTATTTCTCATGTTCAAATCTGTTTATTCTCCAATTTTTT